AGACTGATAACAATAGCAACAAAGACACAACGAATTGCTTTATCATCCAGCTTATGACGAGTAGGAGATCAATCCTAAACAAAACATGTGCAGCCAAAAACACAAGGGGGGGACCGAAAAAAGTGTCCCTGCTTAGGGAATAAGACCTATAAGGGAGCCCTATGCTGAAGAACATAATTCAGTGTACATTACACAAAAAAGTAGAAAATGCCAATAAGATTTTGGCACCCCTATTTCTCTAAGCATACAACGTATCATCCCTATTAGACTCATATTTTTCCTTTTCGCAACTCCATTTTGCTCAGAAGTATATAGACAGTGAGTTGCTGAAGGATACCCTGAGCAACTTAGGCATCAAACACATATTTTTTGGCATTATCCGAACGAAGAACATGAACAATGACATTAAATTATGTCTTAATCATCTGGAGAAACTGAGTGATGATAGGGAGTACATCAGACTTCCTATGTAAAAAATATATCTAAGTACAATGAGTATGGACATCTATAAATGTCATATAGTATCGAGCACCTAACAGAGCAGTAACAGGAGAGGGTTCTCAAATATCAGAGTGTATTAGGTCAATGCCCTGACAAGCAGTAATAGAAGAAGGTCCCCAAATATTATAGTATATTAAGTCAAATGGCTTGGGTGATTGATGCATGCAAGGAATATAACTAGTTCGAACATGTTTCGATAGAGAACATATAACACAGTCAAGTTTACCACCAACACAAACATTGTTCAAAACAGGAAATAACATACATAAATATTTAAAATTTGTATGCCCAAAGCGGTCATGCCACGACTGAACAGTTTGTGATGAAAAATCATAACGACAAGTACTAGGCAAAATACTAGCATGTAAGTTAGGAACAGATAAAAACAAAGCAGATGCAGATGATGGAGGTGGAAGAACTGGTGAAATTGGAGGTGGATCGCCTAGATAATACAATCCATCTCTCTCATGTCCCTTGATAATAATTCTCTTGGTACTCAGGTACTGCAAATAACACGAATCAGATAAAAACACAACCGCACAGTGAAAAATCTCTAGATAACTGATGTACGGATAATAGATTCATGGTCAATTTTGGTGCATGAAAAATCGAATATAATGTAAAGTCATCTGAGAGGCGGACTGTACCCCTACTAACAATAGGGGCATGTGTTCCATCTGCTAACTGAACCTGTGTATGTAACTGCTCGTCAAAAGTGATAAAGTGATAGACCTCACCTGTCATATGACCATTTGCACCCGAGTCTAACATTTAAAAGAGAGATGAACTGGCGTAAGCATGAAAAATACGAGATATACCTGTAGTGGTGGTAGTAGCAGTAGTCAGACATTGAGAAGTCAGAGCGGATATAAGTATATCTAATCGAAAAATGATAGCATCCATATCACTATGCCAAGGAGGAGCAGCAGTAAGAACAACGACAGTAGGTGATGATATTTCAACAATAGCAATAGTACAGCTGCGAGGAGACGACTTAAGCTCTAGAAAGAGCTGGCCTAATCGACCACAATAATCACACTGACCAGAACCAGGAGGTATATTTCAGGTGGAAGTACTAACAACAGAGCTCTCAACAGTAGAGGTCTCAAATCCCTCAATAGTAGTCATAACAATAACAATACGTGGGCACCCGTGACAAAAAAAATTATTCTAAGATTAATAGAGAGATAAAATAAGATAGAATAATATACCTTCAGTCGAACAATAGCGATAGATAAAGAAGGTCCAAAAAACTCTCAAATAATCAAGTTACGGTGCCCAAAAATTCAAAAAATATAAATAATGAATCTACTACATAAAGAGCAGATCAACGAATAATAGGATTCGATCCTCTTAAAAGGTTGGAAAAAGAAGATAGTGGGACAAATAGATGGCAACACTACGACAAAGTACATGTTGCGAGGAGGTAAAACACGAAACTGTGAGGGAGAGCGTGATCCGACGGTGGGCTGGTTAGCTAGAGTGGGTTGGTTGGGCTTTGGGTGCAGTCGGTTTTGGGTTTCTAGGGTGAGCTAAGGTGGTGGGTCGCTGGGTTTTGCTGATGGGAGGCTGAATGCAGGTCGTTTTGCTGATGGGTCGCTGGGTTTGTGGGCTGCTGTCACTGGTGGTTTGCTGGGCTGATTTGTGTTGATTTTTCGGCACTGTGACGAAGAGGCAGTTGGTGATGGTTTTGTCGGTGTGGTCTGGTTGATGGTGGTATATGTTGGCTGGGCAGTCGGTGGGAATAGGTGGACTGGGCAGTGAGCTTACTGAAGCATGTTGTTTCGGCACGGAGACGACTTCGCTGGTTCGGTTGTTGTTTGAGTGGTAGCTGCTTGGTGTGGTTACTGGGTGGACTGGGATACTTGCTGGGAAGTGATTGGTTGTCTAGTTGTTGTTGCAATGTGGAGGAGGGGCAGCGGCTGGGTCTGTTTGGTTATGACAATTGGCGGAGGCTAGGGCTAGAATCAGGGTTGAGTTAGTGGCTCTGATACCAACAAAGAAAGAGTTAGAGCTCGTATATATAGTCAAATAATAATACAAAGTGACTTAAACATTCTTGCATTCTTGACAAAATATTAAGTCACAGGAAAGGTGAAACTAGACTATATTCCAACATTTGGCAGATAAGGGTCTATTAAAATTTTCAAGTCTAGATATTAATTTTATCGTTTTCAAATTTATATATTCCATCACTCTCAGGTCTTGTTTCCCTCTAGTATGACTAAAGTGCTCCATTTCTGCTGGTCTAAATGCGTAAGTTTGGAAGAGCTTTGATACTATGTTAACAGTCAGTGGGTTTGAAAGTTTAAGCTGAATGGATAACAGTGTAACATAGTTTGTGGGAACCGAACAATAGGAATCATATGTCAAATGCCTAGCTATTAACATCAATCTTTGTGTTGGTTGTTGATGGGTTAAGCCCAAATAGTCCAATTCATGTGTTAAAGTCCAACTCCAGTTAAGAGCCCAACCTCATTTTGAATCCACCAAGTCCAAGACAGTCCAAGACCGGTTAGACTTTTTGCTTAGCACGTCACCAAGAGGAAAGCACGGGAAGCTTATCTGCACCACCAAAGGAAACGGTCCAAATCCACCAAGTCCAAGACAGTCCAAGACCGGTTAGACTTTTTGCTTAGCACGTCATCAAGAGGAGAGCACGGGAAGCTTATCTGCACCACCGAAGGAAACGGTCCAATCTTTGACCACGTTTAGTGAAGAGCTCCCCAACCTCCTCCTTCCGTTGAGAATAAGTCGTGATCTCCACCAAGAATAATCTCTTAGCTGCGATAAAGAAGCCTTGAGGATAAGTCATGATCTCCACCAAAATGATTTCTTAGCTGCGATAAAGTAGCCTTGAGGATAAGTCATGATCTCGACAAGAATGATCTCTTAGCTGCTATAAAGTAGCCCCAATTTGGAGGAGACGGAGAATGAATGTCACGCCCCACCAGAGACTTACAGAGGACGAACCGACTACCGGAGATTACTATTTCTTTGATTCTCCATTCTCTCTCTCAAAGCTTGTATCTCTATTCTCCATACCTTTGAATCAATAAAATACCCGGCAACTGAAGCCATTGAAGAGTGGACGTAGGTCGAATTGACCGAACCACTATAAATTGTGTCTTCTTTAATTTTTTCATTGATTTCATTGCATTTATTATCTACACTTGACAGGTGGTGTGCAAAACCATTTTTCTGCATCATCAGTTGTTAATGTTACCTTATCCACTGTGAAAGTATAGCATGATTGTGCGTGCAAGATCCTGCACAATATAAAAAACGAGAACAGATATCTCCCTTGGTGAACTTCGAGTGTGCCAGTTGAGTGACCAACCACGCCGCTTGGAACAGCCTGCGAGGTCTGGTGGTAACCTGGAACGGCAACGGGAGACCCTAGGTGAGAGGGAGAACGATCCAGTAAGGCTGAAAGAGGATCCTGGAACAAAGAAGAACAAGTTAGAAGGGCGCCGGAGTGTTTTCCGGCGTATCCCCTCCGACGGTCTAGTCAGTCTTTGAATGAGAGGGAGGAAGGAGAAAACACTGAGAAAAATATATCGTAGTAGAGAGTTTGTGATTGCATACCCGTCTTGCCTTTTGCAAGGAGTATTTATACCTCAAAAGCTCATGATTGCTGTCAGTGTGGTCAGTAGGTGATCATTAGGTGCAGGTTGCTTGTGCATTGATTCTGATGAGGAATGTCTTCTCTAATTAACTGCTCGGGGTCCCGAGCAATCAATGCTGGATCATCGGGATGCCGACGGTACAATGTGCTCCTCTTGGGGAGGATGCAATAAATGCTCTGTAACAGGAGCATTTATTGCCTTTCATTTCCGAGCCTTACCGCATTGAATGCGGTCTCATCAAGGGAATGGTGCAATTAATTGTTTGCTTTCCCAAAGCGCGTGTCAGCAACAGCATGCGGTTTGTCTGTCTTTGATGTGATATCATATGCCACGCGTCCATCCCCTATTGGCTATGACCTCTGTATTCCAGTATGTTCTGACATTACTTGTGTAAGACGAGGTCATGATGAATAGTCTAGACTAGCCTAGGCTAATGACCTGTACGTCAATAGCTTATCCTGGAATAGAGGAAGCGTCTAGGATGGGGTATCTCTCGGCACCGAGGAAAGGCTCATCTCGGGGACCGAGGGAGGTACGCCGACCGAGGTACATATCAGACCGAGGCCACGTGTCGGTTGTAAAATATACTGAATGTATGATCCTATACGCCAGTACCTCGGGGCCGAGGTCATTCGTAAGCCGATGGTGCTTGATCTTAACAAGTGTTTTAGTAAAACCGAGGACACGTGTCTTCATCATAGGGTATTTCGGAAAAGTCCCATCAATGATCATCAATTATTTGTTTTTATGTTCATTAAAATAAGAGCCATGCCATGGTTGTAAGTTTTAACCAAAATGCCTACTTGATTGCTTTAATTTGGACATTGCTCCTTTATTGCCAATTATGATTAAGGTCCTAGGGTTTCATAAATGGTTTGCCCCCTTGATATTAGTATCATTATGGTTCTGGTTTGGGTCTAACTGGTTGTGTAATTTTGAATGGCCACGTGTTTGCTGATTCACCAAGACTTCCACGCTCGAGAAAGAGGCATATCCAGCTTTAGATCAATTATCAGCTAAAACCAGTTCACAAAGCCTCCAACGTGTGAGGCTTATAAAAGGTCGTTTGGTTGCTCTGTCTGGCCGTGTTCAGAAGGTAACAGCATTACAGCAATTCTCATTATTGTTCAATAACAACATCCCCTGTACCCTGATTAGTAGCTAACTATAGGGTTGATTTGATTCTTAGAGGGACAAATATATCTCATTTATGGATCTTTGAGTTATTTTCTAATAAGAACAGATAGTACAATGTTTAATTGTTTGGAGAGAAGGTAAAGTCACCCTTTTCACTGTTGTTGCTGGATTCCTTACATGCAAATAGTGTTTGGATCACTTAATATCTGCTTATAGACTGGCACAACAAGCTTTAACTGGCTGAAATGTAGTCTGATCTGCATTATTGATCATGTAATCTAATTGAAAAAAAAAAGGAAGAAAGATTCTGAGAACGTATCATACTAGTTTGAATCCATAAAATCTAAGATACGCTGTCCAGGTGCTTAAAATTTGCCTATGTCTACGCAATATTCAAGATTGTTACAAACGAGTCTTACAGCTACTGCTTCAGATTATAAGACTGAAATCTGAGACAACCTTGGGATATTGATGGAGCACATTGTCTGGCAAATATATGAAATTTAAATAAAATCAATTTATGAAACAATTGTATGTTTCAAAATGAAAAACCTGTTATAATTACCTTAGAATATATTCTGCCCCTGCTTCCCTCAAAATTTCTATTTGTTCAAAATACAATCACGTTTTACTAATTTAGTAAGAAATACAAAACCTTCTGCAAGAATCTTCAACTAGAGAATAGCTTCATGTTGGGATTACAAATTTATAATTACAGCAAACTTCTGAGGCTGTTAACTCCCCTCTTATTTGGATTGGTTATCAAGAAAATTATCATATAATGCTAGCATGTTTTTCAGGTGAGAGATGAGCTTGAACATTTACTGGATGATGATGCAGACATGTCCGAGATGTACTTGACCAAAAAACTTGCTGGTCTAGAATCTGATAGGTTCATACTAAATGTTGAGCAGAAGGATGCCAATGAATCTGAATTACATGATATGAGGTGAATGGAAACACTTTGGTATCATTGCTTTTATTGGCTTCATCTAAAAGTTTGTTTACAAGTTTATGTTCCATTAGTCATCGTATATATACCACAACCATAACTATCGCAACATTGCCATGCAGAATGCCATTGTCTATGCAAGATTGCAAAGCTTTATATCATCAGTTAGAACCATTAGCTGTGAAGCAAATGACAAGTTGACAGTGCTTTAGCTTTTGTCAGGATTGTTGCAATCTGAGATACATGGCAAATCAAGTTTGATCATAAATGAAGGATTCAGTCATTATATTCGATTAGTTTACTCTGGAATCCAATAGATATGTGAGTTTAAGATACAAAGTTAATTTCATAGTTTAAGGATCCTAGCACAGTGCAATGGTAAGAGTGTTGGGCTAACAACAACCAAGTTGTTGTGGGTTCGAGTAATAGAGTAGTCATTTTGGTCAAATAATGCAAATTCTTAGGTCCAGGGACTGATCCGAGAAGTAGGTGTAGGCATACCAATCCTTTGGACAAGTCTTTTTCTTTTTTTTTTTGGGGGCGGGGGGGGGGGGGGGGTGTACAAAAAAGTTTGGGGGCTATCTCTATATAGTTTTATATTTATCACTCAGCAAATAATACATAGCTCTGAAAATTTTCAAACTTTAGAGCCATCAGGGGGGCATAGGTCCATCACTTTTCATATGTCTACCCAGTGGAGCCTCAATTAACAGGATCATACTGGATACGTTAGTTTTGTGATCCTTAAAAAGGATCAAAAAGTGGAGCTGGAAATGAATGACTTGAATTAACTAGTATGCATCTGGATATGGTTTCTTTGTTAGAAATTCTGAGGGCAGATGTGAAATTGTTTAATCCAGTTTCTTGATTTGACATATAACAAACTTATGCCTACTCTTGGCCAGAAAAATAGGAATAATGTAGTAACAGCCTAATATAGAAAACAACAGTTTTGTTTTGAGTCTAAAGGTGAGGTGGTGTAGATACAATTGGTTCTAAAGTAATCGCATCACAATCATTGTTGAATCTGTTTTAAGTTTTCAATACCATCAACCGTACTTATGGATCAAATTAAAGTCCATTTTTGTCCCGATTGATTTCAAAGTTGATGAATTTTATTAACGCTTCGTGGTTTTCATTTTCAGTGATGAGGACACAAGTGACGGAAGCAGCATCGCACCTATTAGTGGTCATAAGCCAAATATTGAAGAGTTGGAATTACTATTGGGAGCATACTTCATGCAAATGGAGGAAATCTTAAACAAACTACTCAGTGTAAGTTTTGCTTTGGCTTGCTACAACTTTTGACTCGATCCTAAGCTACTTTTACCCTGTTAATAAGTTTTCTCAATAGAATTGCATGTTTTTAAAAGGTTACTCGGTCCTTGAGGCTTGCCATAAGGTAGGGCTCAATGAGATAAAATATGATAGATCTTAATTAGTTCCATTGTAAGTTTCATTCACATATAACAACAAATATGGAAGATTGTATCATAAATTTGAGGCTTCTTTTTTCCCTTGTCACATTTTTTAGTTGATAACTACTCTTTTGCCGTCTCCTTAACATGTAGAAAACATACCTGTGTAACTTGTTCTTTCAACAATTCTACGACAAACTCTCTTATGGAAGCAACTTGGCCAAGTATGGAAAACTAGCTCCTTTGTTTTTGGCACTTTGTCATAGTAGCTGGGTTCATCATGCTTTAAAGGGAAAGTTAGCTTCGTCTATGAATTTTAATAGATTCTAATTTGTTGTCTTCATTTTCCCAGAAATATCTAAGGTAGAAACCATGCTTATACTCGAACAAAGAACTTCATTTCTATATTCAAGTTGAGATTAGAATGAGGTATTTATTTCAGACTTCTTATTCTATATATAATACATTGGCTATTTATGTTTATGTTATTTCCAAAGTCGAAGCAGTTCCTAGTACTCACAACTTCGCCAGTTTACAAAGCAAGTTATAAATATTCCTGTTAAACAGCTTAATCCTATCTTCATTCCTATTTCTAAGACATTTTTCTTGTATTGAACAATAGATTACTATTTCTTGCAAATTTACAAGATCCAAATCATCCTGATACCATTTTTTTTTTGTCTCTGGTCCCTAGCTGCGGGAATATGTCCATGATACAGAGGACTATATCAACATCATATTGGATGAAAAGCAAAATCAGCTACTGCAATTGAGTGTTATTATTAACACAGCGACGACAATGCTCAATCTAGGCATTTTGATTTTTGGAATATTTGGCATGAATGTACACATCGCTCTCTTCGACTTTGGAACCTATGCACAGTGGTATGCAGCTGCTGCTGGTGTTGTTGGAGGTGGCTCAATCCTATTTATTATAGCCATCTTATGGTTTAAGACAAAAAGATTGCTAGATTGATGAAACTCTGTCCCAGTGGATGTTAATTCAAAACATGTAGTATCTGCGTTGAAGTATTGTGCTCAAGTAAACTCTCTAACCTTGCTGCAAATAAAAGACGAATGTATGTTTGGACCTTCTTTCCTATGCTGTCTAAAGGTCGGTTCAATTAAAACTGAGATAATGGTCACTGGTAGTATCAAGAACTTTCCTTCGAACTTGATGTTTTCCAAAGATTCAAAAGTAGGGTAAGAATTACAAATTAGAAGTTGGAACTATCCTTATGTTATTGATTTGTACAAGTTAGCAGTACAATTGATAAAACTTGGTGGTGGTCCGTTTATTCCCTGATTCTTCAGTATCCTTCGAACCCTGGCCGGCTCTGTCACCAGAGCCTTGTACAGACGCACAAACACCGCCACCGCAGAAAGTAAAGCAATGGACATGAACACCTTGAAAAGCTCCATCTCTCTCCTCTCGTATCTTTTGTTCTCTTCCTGGGTCTCTCACAGTGTTATTGCTTTTACTTTCTTGGTGTGCTTTAGGATTTGATAGTGTTATAGATACATATTATATACAAAAGGAAATTTCTACTGCAATAGAGAAGTCTGCCATTGTAGAATGAGAAGAATTGTCGGCTATCCTTCATGCTCGTCGATTGAAAGGAAATATAAAACCGCACCCCGAAGTTGAATGTTGGGTTGAATAGAGTGTAGAATATGACTTATATGTTGGACAAAGACAAGAGTAGTTATTCAACAGGTATAATCATTTCGAAGCAGAATAGTCTAAGCTCACTTAGTTGACTATAGCAGAATAGTCTATTGATAATGAGCATCTCATTCAAAATCTCATTCAAAATCAATTGATAATGAGTGAAAATGCTTTTTAAGTATATATATCGATATTGGATAGAGCTAATCATTTGATATGAAAGAAAAGTACTCATTACATCTTCCATCAAGACCCAACTTAGATACCATGAAAATATCGATGACAAGAGAGAATGAAAAGAAAATGAGATAAAAATATTATTGCAGTTACATAATTTTGTGAGCATAATGATTAAGAGTAATATTATTTGGACCTAAAAATTTGACCTAATTTCCTGATATAATGATGTGGCTTCAGCAGAACTATTGGATCAATACCAAATTTCAATGTTTGATGGACTCCACAGTCAATCCAAATGTCATAGTGAATTAGGTCAATAAATTAGGTCCCGATAACATTGCTCAATGATTAAAGATACATAATATAAACCCTTCATAGCAAGGCAAAGGCAAAGCATTACCAGAAAATAATTAAACTACTTCAAATACTAAAATTTTCTAACACACACCACCCCGGGCCCAAACTGATGCGAGGGTAACATCAGGAGTTTGTCAAAAAAAAACAAAACACATAATGATACAAAACTTCGTAAAAAAATCTGCGAAAACATATAAACTAACCTTGAGTGATCCTAGTCATTCAATATAAGATACAAACTCTCTTTACAGCCATGGCTTAGAAGGTTTCGATACGAGTTTAGGTAACTGGACTAAGGTTTTTTATCCTGTAAACCACCAACCAAAGTCTCAATGATGTCCAGTAATTACAAAGCCAGTTGCGCAGACTACAAAAGATCTATATCATCTGGTCAAGAGGGTATATGATTTTGAAACTTGTTGATTGGTGTTGTTAAGCCTGACCATCAATAGGGATGTACAGATCCAATCCGAAACAATGTATTTTGCTAATTTAAGTATCAGACGCTGATATCAGCTTCATTTCTGGCAGGACTCCTTTCATGTGTTTCCCTTGAACTGCCTTACCACAACAAAAGATAAATGATTCACTCACCATGGGTGTCTTAACATATACGGAATAAGCATCTTCACCTTCCCTTATCAAACCTATACCAAATCTCATATGTATCCTTCCACCATGATGGTCGTGACTTCAACTGCAGCTCACCTCTGGATTTGACTTCACAATTCTGCTCTGTCTATTTCATACTTAATGATAATCACCATTAGTCTCCAGAGACCACAAGAACAAGACCCATCGCTATAATGATGGAGCAATGCATCTCTCCAGTTGCACCCTTCCGTAAATAATTACACCTGAGCTTGGTATCTCTGTGTGTGTGTGTGTAAAATTTCCATAAAAGTTTCTCTGGTCACACAACCCAGTGGACCATTCAAGGAATTGTATTAAGAGGCCCCAAAATAATTGCCAGCTTACCACTGCAAGTTACTTGCACAATATGAATTTCTTCCCCTGCAGATGGGACTGCCTCATGCCATAAGCATACGATGATCTCATCCAGATTGCTATCCTCATGCCTACACTTCAAGAAGATCTAAAATTGGATCTCCACCTGAGTTCAACAGTACTTGACAGATGTGAAGGTGCATATGAAAATCTGGGTTCATTCTTCTATCACCAATAGTCTCCACAAGAACAGGATCCATCTTTAAAATGATGGAACCGATTTATATCTCTCACAATGATCTCTCGTCCATAGATTTTTGAAATGAACTTGGTGGCTGTGTGACAGTCTCCACAGATTCGAAGGTTTTTTGTCACTCGAAGAACTGTTCCGTGACCGGTATTAAGAAGCCCAAAGGCAATGGCCAACTTCTCGCTGTGGGTTGTCAGGTTTTGCTCTTTCTCCTCTTCACTGACATCATGCAACACAGCATTAGTATCTGGTATGTAACCAGCTGCCTTAATCTTCTCAGGCAGTGCCTCCAATAACGCGCAGATTTCCTTAGCCTGTGGATGAGACAAATCTCCTCCAAGAAATAAATGAGCTTTCCCATTGATCTCAATCCAACTGCATCCAGGACTCTTCTTCACACACTGCAATTTTAATAGAGTTCTCAAATTGTTCACTTCCTCCCACATCCCAACATCAGCATACATATTTGAGAGCAGAACATAATTCCCACTGTTGTCTGGTTCTAATACAAACAACTTTCTAGCTGCTATTTCTGCAATCTCCAAATTCCGGTGGCTTCGACTGGCAGCCAATAGCGAGCCCCATATGCTTGGTCCTGCTTGCATTGGCATTTGAGAGATAAGGTCATACGCTTCCACTAATCTCCCAGCACGACCAAGAAGGTCTACGACACAAGCATAATTTTCGTGTTTTGGTTCCACAAAATACACTTTACTCATACAGTCAAAGTATTTCAAGCCAATATCGACAAGACCAGAATGGCTGCATCCTGACAACAAACCCGTGAATGTGATTGCATCGGGTTGAATCCCATCTCTTATCATATCCTCGAATGTTGACACAGCTTCTGGTCCATGGCCATGAGAAGCATATGCAGTAATCATGGTGTTCCAAGTAACCAAACTCTTTTCATTTTGACGGATCCTATCAAAACAACTTCGGGCATCAACAAGGCTCCCACATCTAGCATACATTGCAGCAAGTGCTGTTTCCACCGAAGAATGAAAATCCAAACCGATCTCACTAGCATACTTATGAATCCGTCTACCGCACTCAAGAGCAGCAGAGTGTGCACAAGCAGGTAAAACACTCATGATTGTAACCCAATTAGGCTTCACCTCCGAATCCTCCTGCAACATCTCATCAAACAAACCCAACGCCCTGTCCGCCAATCCATTCTGAGTGTACCCGGATATAATAGCAGTCCAAGACACAATGTTCCTATTCGACATTTTCCCAAATAAATCCTCCGCAACAGAAATCTTGCCATCTTTCATGTGCCCAGCAATCAATGCATTCCAAGATGAAACATCTCTCACAGGCATTTCATTAAACAACTTATGGGCATCACTCAATTCACCACATTTCACATACATAGCAATCAAAGAAGTCCCTACGTACATATCAAACTCCAACCCAGTTCTCAAACTCAACCCATGAACGCATTTTCCCAATCCAACACGCGCTAAGTCAGCACAGGACTTGAGCACAAAAGGGTATGTAAAGCAATCACCTTTAAGACCCAACAAATGCATTCCAAAGTAGGTTCTTAAAGTTCTCTCGAAAAACCCGTACCAGGTATATGCTCGAATAATTGAATTGTACAAAAGAGTAGATGGACTTGTAATACTATCAAAGAGGACTATAGCGGAGTTCAAATCGCCTGAGCTAGCGTACATTGCTACCATCTTTGAAGCAACGAAGGCGTCGGGTTGGAGACCTCGGAGGACCATGTGGGAGTGGACTTGTTGGCCTAGTTTGATGAAGTTTTGGCCAGTCAAGAACTGGAAAATGGGTGGGTATGATGAAATGTGAGGTGGGTTTTCTGTCAATGGATGCAAAAGAGTTTGAAGCATTCCTTTTTGAGAAGAAGGGTTCCATTTCACAAATCTTTCCATTAACAGAGAGAATTACAGGGGGAAGATGGAATCTGTGCACTTTTAACTTTTAAATTTATATTTATAATATAACACAGCTTTTAACAAGTCCCGTTCTCAGATTCATTCTTTCGGCCATAAATTTACTATTTTTTTTCTTAATATCTCCAATTCCATCGTATCTAATTTTCTCTCTCACCCTCGCCCAATATGTCAGTCAGACACCCTTCTCTCTCTTTCTCTTAAAAGAGCATTTATAATATAAAATACAGCGGACTTCAACAAGTTGATCGGATAGTCACAATTCATTTCATCCAACGGTCTACAATCACTCAATTCAAATTTTTTTCCCGGCCATGCATTTCTCTTTTCCCTCCTTAAACCTGCTATCAATCACACCAATGACACCATGCCGTCAATCACACCTGCAACCCATCACCTTCC